ATACAAAATAATTCAATATTTGTATGGTTTTGCATATCACTATTTTGGATGTCATAGTGTAAGCTTCAAAATGTCTTAGTGTCATACATGAATGCCATAAGTCAAGTTTGATATTGTAACTGGATGTCCTGAGGAACATCATGGTTCACAAACTCATGTATGTTCTTTTTTTATATCTTTAATGATCGACTTACGGTTAAATTGAAAAGTGTAAATTATCAAAACAAAATTGAAGTCATTAGTACATTTATGTGTTTGATAAAGAAAACTCTAGAAATATTACAACTTTTTATATGTTTCAATGTTTTAACTTACTGCTTAAAATTACATATCAAAAAAGTTTACAAAGCCAATATGTTTGTAACTACACAGAGAAATTGATATGTTGATCCTTGTACCCATTGTTCAATGTTGTGAATGTACATTATGTCAAGTTCAATTTTTTAGCAAAAAAGTAAATGTATAAATAAATAAAATAAAAAAGAATTTAAAATTATACAGATGATTTTCAATGTTGGATGTATATAATATGAAATTATAAAATACCTACTTGAATTTTATCATTTATGTTGAATCAGACCCCCCCCTTTTTTTTTTCCAAAGTAACAAGAACGTGCTGGAACATCCAGGATATGTGCTATCATGAGATATTCTTTACCAGATAGTTCTTTTATGAATATAATCATGCAATTTTACATCTCATGAGGATAACACTAGAGACTAGAGTCGTTCAGATAACCATGAAAGTCTTTAATAAACTGAAATGATTCTGCATCCTGACCTCTTTTACCCTGGATTTGTACATTGTCTCATATGAGTACCTATATATTCAGTTTTTTTGTCGAACATCTTCAGAGGAGAAATAGCTTAAAAGCCTAGATAAGACTGTCACGGAAGTAAATAGGCACCGATTGTAACAGTTCACCGCAAAATTATAGACGGTATGAAATCGTTGTGCTTATACCATTTTTCTGGAGCGAAAAACGAACGAAACGGTTGTTTGAAGATTAAATAACGGTTCATCAAGGTTTCAACACGGTTCCATTAAGGACCACTAATAGCGGAGTGACAAGACCATCAAAATTTTGAAATTAATGCATCATCCTACCCTACGGCTAATTTGTACTTTTTTGGAAAGGTATATTATTAGGCAATTATTTTCATCCGGTCGTAGAAAATTCTATGGTCAAAATTTAAAAGAATAGGAGGTTAAGGATCAATGATTGAAATCTGACCATAATAATGAACATATCAAAAAACGCTTAAGGAATTCATAAATTTTCTCGGATTTTGCAATAAATTTGTATGGAAAATTTATCTTTACAGTGAAAACATCGATTTCTTAGAAAAAGAAGGAAAATGTGAACTATAATGTCCGTCTGTCTGTCCGTAAAATTAATTGTCTCGGAGTAGATTTAATTCAGTGTTGATGTACAGGTTTTTTGTTCATAATGTACAATCAGGCAATATTAAGACAGGTTCATGTATAAACAGTAATTAGGAAATCAAAAAAGGACAATAGCCCCCCCTTTGACCTTTACCCCCCCCCCCCCCAAATACGAAATTTGACTAAATTTTGAGTTTCGTTGCTTTGAAGTAATACTTTTATTTAAACATTAAATTTTGAATATAATGAGCTCTAAAAAGATATTTTCTGTTCCTGAAGCATATTAATTATCTAATATAACGTCATACACGTTAAAGCATAATAATTAACGTTTTTTGTTTTGTTTATAATTATAGATTCGTTCAATAACTTTATTAATATGAAAGCAGTTTTATCAAGGGTTCTTATACTTAGAAATACATGTATACAGGTGTATGCTCGGCGCATATGGCCTTTGGACATAGGGATTCTTTTATGATTGATTGATTGATTGTATATTGTTTTACGTCCCATTCGAGAATTTTTCACTCATATAGAGACGTCACCATATACCGGTGAAGGGCTTCAAATTTTGACCTTTACTCGGCACTCAGGGCCATTGAGCAGTGAGGGATCTTTATCGTGCCAACGCCTGCCGTGACACGGGGCCGCGGTTTTTAAGGTCTCATCCGAAAAACCCGCAACTTTCAATCCAAAGTGCCGAGCGCATGGCGAAGGAACAGTTGCTACCTATTTTTTATCGACTTAGGTCTGTCGCGGCCGAGATTCGAACTCACGACCTCCCGATCACGGAGCGAGCGCGGGATTCTTTTAGGGATCACACCTGTTGTAACAAGACAAGAGCCAACCGAGTGCTAAAACTCTTGATATTTTTCGTCTTCCTCATACAATTTGCAAACAAACAAAAAAAAATACTGATTCATGTCTATGTTTCGAAAGGTTATGATAATGTGATGAGATTTCGAATTAGCGTTAACTCGTCAATTCTGCCTGTTATACACTCGGTTGTGAGGATTTAGGAGCAGAAAGATTTTGGACTTGTATCGGTTATATAGTAGTAATTCTATGAAACGGGACAAAGAAAGCTTTTTTTTAATATTTTTGACGATATGCATTTTTTACAGCACCACTACATCACTTTACAAGGATTTGTTTCATTTGAAAAGCAGAATAGAATTACTTGATTGAGCTCACAAAATGATACTCCCGCTCCAATAGGATTTTTCGTTCGGTCGAAGGTGATTCTTTAAAACTATCATCGATATTCATTCGGTGTTTAAGAAGGACCTGCGTTAACAAAATGGATACCCCCTTTGACAAGAATAATGGTAAAGTCCAAGTTTTGATATAAGAAATCCCAAATATCTTTCTGATCAAGACGTAAAAGTAAAAGTGCACAACACAACGATTTAAAATGAAAATTAAATATGTGAAAATCTAATTTAATCTTATTCAGTTGTATAGGAGGATTCAGAATAAAAGATGAATACTGGGAAACTCCGATTGCGATGGAAACGTAAAATAACAGGCGCTTATTATAAGGCAGTTTGTATTAAAGACTCTATATTAAATAGCAAAAAAAAAAAAGCAAGAGGAATTGCGGATAAGGGATGTCCACCCCGAGTGTGCCGGATATACTGATGGCCAGATACCCCAATTCCGTTAATGTATATGTGTACACCCCCCTCCCCACCACTTTCCAAGAGGAAGTAAAGTAAGTGATGCATGATCTTTATAATATATAGTCCTTCCAATGATATACTAAAATATTTCCTACATTTTTTGTGAATGTGTCAATAACACTTCATATCATTCTTCTCTTTCTATTTCATACAACTTAGCATTGCATTTGCATTGCTTACGATGCAGAAAAGCAATCTTTGATCATGCAAGACACTGTTCAAATAGAAACATGAAATGAAAGTAACATGCTTGACCTTTACGTCTTCTTTAATCGAAAAATAAAACAGAATAATTACATTTGCATGCTTATTTATTGAAATTCAGACTTCGTTTGACGTCTTAAGGAGAAAATTTAAAAGTTTGTCAAAACTTGCATATTTTCTCCGGAAATTGAGTGTTTTCTTTCGAGCGTACATTTAGATTTGAATTTTGTCTTTTTAAAACTTTAAGGTGAATACAATGAAACTTTTTAGCCCTTTTTGATCAAGAGAAGAAGACAATTCAATATTTTTAACAATATTTTGATCGGTAATTAATCGCGGTGCCATTATCATAGGTGGCGCTTGGATTCTATAATTCGTTTCCGGTTACATAAAACTTCAGATCAAGGAGAATAAAAAAACTTAGTGTGAAGATATCCTTAGGTCTAATTTGATCGTAAAACACCGTTTGCATAATTATCTTTAAAATATTTAGGTAAATGTTCGTAATTTGTTATATTATGTAACTACGTGGAATGTATTTTGTTGAAACACGCAATCTTTTAAAAAACAAACAATACAACCAACGCAGTACAGTTAAGGCTACACATGAAGATAATATGGTAATGAGGTCATAATGAGCTTTGACGTCATGACAGTTGCTCCGCCTAGATAGATCCATATAAGGAAATAGAGCTCAAAAAAGCTATTTAATGATGATTGCGAGAATTTGTAATGAATGTCTGTATTTTCAGGTTTAAATAAATAAACATTAGTGATTTTCTCTTATATAGTAACAACACGTCTTCGAAATAATTCTCTTCTTATTGTGTCGTTTGGCTGCATTCGGCTTCAGCCAAGCGCTTGCACTCGGTGACACGGACTGTTGTTTACATCTAAAAACGTGGCGACAGCAGCTGAGATATGCAGTGGATAAATGCAACAATCAGGCAATCTTTAAAGAGAAAAGGGATAAAATGAGAGACCTGGGCCTTGTTTATCTTTTTGATGAGAAGATGATGACGTTATTTCGGGAAATCATGGAAAACTGAGACGATCCGCACTACCTCCCTAGGTCCCTTTCTGTTCACTAAGGTGTGTATGTGCATAGGCATTAACATGTTGACATACTATTCTTTACATCGATGTAAAATAACCTTGAACATGTACAATAAGATGTATTGTTACAGTCCGTCACAAACTGCAATGCAGTGCCTTGTGTGTACCCCCTCACCCACACACACACAGAAACACACACATTATGAAAGTTGCACACTTTTAAACATGCAATGATGTTGTCCTTTGGCATACATGTACAAATATGTAACATAATATAAGCACAGCACGTCATGATATCAAATAGTATAATTTAGATGCAGTCACACTTGAAGTGTATTTGTGAAGTCAAACTGCACAGTGTACAATGTATGTGCACTGTACATACAAGAGTATAAGACCCTATAAATTTTAATTTATACCTCTGGCAATCAAAAATATGTGAATTTTAAGATTTCAGTTTTTACCAGTGCTTTATATTTTAAATTCATCATAGAAATTTTACTATCTGTATCACTAGGCTGTAAATTTGTATGATTTCTACATTAATGAAGATAAAATGTTTGAATTTTCATTTGTCTGACTACATGTACATTAAGTCAGTTATATATGTATATACATGTATTTATGTACTGTTTATATGTATAATTCTTTTCTCATTGTAGCTGTCACAGAACTGGTTAAAACTGGCATTTACATCAGCTAGAACTATCAAAGTAGATGCATCAATTTCTCCACTGGGTATGATCACACTAAAGCATTTCACATTAATTTTATAGTATGCCAGTGTTAAATATTTTTTTTTAATGTTGTATAGGTGAAAGAATTAAATGTTATCTCTAGTATATTGATTTTTTTTTTACTTAAATTAAGTATAGCTACCAATTCTACTTTTGCAAATGTCATATAGGTTTCAATTTTCCAGAAAAGTTTTGTATCAAAAGTTTGTTTCCATTTATTTTATGAATTTCAGAAAATATAGTATAGCATGGTTTGTTTTGTACAATGCAATGTCATTTCATTCTACAATAGTAATCATTATGTTTTTCACTCATTACATATATATTGTGTTGTAGCTACTCCCAAACAATTTGAACAATTCATTCAGGCAGCAAGTGTTTCCACCAATAAAATAAAAAGGTATGCTCCATATAAGCTCTAAACCATACATATTCCTAGCAAGCTTATTGAAATGTTTTGATAATAAAAACAGTAGAGTCATGTACAATTATGCTCTCCATGTTACTCAATGCATTGTTTTGAGTATCACTTTTTTAAAACACCAATGAACCTTCCATAATGGTATTTCATTTTGTTTTCAGAATTGATTTCATCCAGAAGAACTGTTTTTGAACTGTGGACTGTTTGAAATATTTTGCACCTGCTCAGATATCCCTTCACAGCTTGTCTTTGAATTTGAAAGGCTGTTTTTATTAAATAAATTTTCTAGATAACTAATACTTTGAATTTTTAACAGTACAATGGTGTGAAAGTTTGAAGGCTGTTAAGATTTGAGTATCTTAAGTTTACTTGCATGTATTCTGACAGGTGCGTAGCTGCTTATACGCAAATACGCAGATGCGTACACATCGTTTACAAATTTAAAAAAAAATGGGGGGGGGGGAGGGAAGGGAGAGATTTGTGAGAAGAGAAAAAATATCAATACCATCCAGCAAATATTTGTGTTTCAAATTATTTTATCTCATACTGTTTCGATTCAAATTCAAATTCTATATTACCATGTCTTTATAAAAAAAAAATTAAAAAAAAAATTGTAATATTTTATTAAATCATTGCCAAAACCAAATAAAACATTCATTAATTTGTAATTCTTCTACAACACATTTATAATTTATTTTAAGATCTTTGAGAAAATATCAACCGTTGAATGCTGTGATCCACTAGAATATGATTTGAAATATTATTTTTGTTAAAAATTGAAATTATAATTATATTTGTTGCCGAAAGATGATACCAATATATCTTTTTAAAAAAATATTCAGCCTCTACATGTACAATAAATTTGCACGGAAGTATTTAACTTTGTGTTAAAAACAATATTACTATGTCTTGTATTTTCTAAAGAAACTCGAAATGGCATGATTTTGAATGAAATATTTGGTAAAAACCATGAGCTTCCAGGGACTTCGCCCCTGGGCCCTCATCTGGACCCACTGGGGGTCTCAAAGCGGACCCCAGCCGTTCTCTGCGTACATTTCACTTCCATTCTGGTATGCGCCTGTCTGTGTTTTGAGGTACAACAAAATCTAAATTTCAGCATGTATATTGTGTTCACCTGTTATTTAACAGAGTATCTGTTTCTTGATTACAAAATTTTTAATATGATTATCTTGTGTGCGCATTGATTGATAATTACTCAAAAACATGAGACTAAAGCCCCCCCCCCCTTCCCCCTCTACGCCGATATGATTTGTGCTACAATACCCAAATAAGTAAAACCTGATGTAAACACTGTTTAATAATTTATTTTTAACATGCCAGTTAGTATATGGTATCAAAGGAGCCAGAGGCAAACTGGTGGGGGGGGGGGGTAGATCTGTAGAAAGGAAAACAGGTTATTAAATACAGGAGTAAGCACCCCAATCCCTTCCTTCTGTTCTTAAAGCTTTTAACGTAGTCTAGAATCCATAAACAGTTGAAGGTTTGATAACTAAAATAATCACATTAAAAAAAATTTAAAAAAACTACTAAATTCTGTTGGAGATATTTTTTCTGTATGTCTACTGATGAAGAATAAATGTTTTATCATTGATAGGGGTTGTCTATTTTTTTTTTTTTATTACAAATGACTGAATCTTTCAATATTTTTAACCATGGGCATTTTCCAGGTCATTTACATGATGGATGTTGCGGCAAATTTTAGGCGAACGGAGGAAATGCGGTAGGTGTCAAATACGTCTTGTGCAGCGTATAAAAGAACGAAGATATACAAAACAAAGTAAAGTCAAAGATTTTTTTATGCATACCGTTTTGATTTAGTGAAATAAAGCCCAGCGCAGTCCGTAGGTATTATTTGTTTAAAATTTGCGAGGTATACACACTCTACTAAGTATCACAGAGTTATCTCCCATGCTGGGTCAATGATGCGTTTGAAAACTATATTTAGAATGAATGTATTAAGATTTCAATTTTTAATCAAAAAGTGCAAGGGCAAGCCGACAACCCAAGAGGTAGGTTTTTATTTTAAATTCTTTATTTTACTGTATAGTTTTTAAAAAGTGATGCTCATGTCTTTGTAATTCATTAGGCAATTTAAAATTTCCGATTAAATGATGAAAAATACCCTATTTTTGAATACTGGTGTTTGTTTTCAATGAATAACTTAAATATTTCAGAAATCTGACTGAATGAGCATCAGTTTTTCGATAGGCTAGATACCAAGGTACACAATGAAACCTTGTGCAATTCAAATATTGTTTGCCTTGCCCTTGCACTTTTTGGTTAAATTTGACATTTCATATTTTGACCTAAAATCGGAGCTCACGTGACTTTAGAGGGTCACATGATGACAAAAAATACCGATGTGAAAAGCGATGGACAAACTCTTCATAAAGCCATTAAGATATTTCAGATAGAGTTTCATGCTAAAAAATAAGACGGTTGAACTTTAAGTGTCTCGTTTTTGGTGCCTTTTTATAGAAAATGTTGCCTTAACTGTACTGCGAATAAATTCATAATTAATTTGACAATAATAACTTAGATAGCTATAAGTATCCTATCACGTACAAATATTTACTTTTTTATGTAATTCAAATGTTAACTTGAAGAATAATATCGTCAGACAAAACATACTACCACCCTCCTCCCTTTTCACTTTTATTCGCGATTAAAAAAAGTTTGACTCGAGAAAACTCTACGACCGGGCAAAAATGCATGAAAAGGGATGCCTCTTTTATAACATATAACTTTCAGCCGTAGGGTATGCTGGTGCATTAAACTCGAAAAATAAGCGTCTTTTTCTAGGTTTGTCACTATAAGGACCAAGTTTGTCACATTACGGAAACTGTAATGGACAAGCACGATATCCAATGATGATACCGTATTATAATAATGCGACGATCTCACCAGCGACTGCCAAGCTACGGCTACGATCATTAAAATAATGCTACAACTTTTCTGGGCTCTTATGAGCATGCCACAAATGACGACGATTTCTGTAAAAGGTCGCCACGCTGAAGTAACGTTCGTTGTACACCAGCATCAACACATACCAAAAATATTGTTATAAAGAGGAACCAATAAGAAATGAGAAATCAGATGTCACATGCACATATATTTTTAAAAAGCTATTTTTTTTTTTTAAATCTTTCAACAAGCGGACTTACATATATATATATATATATATATATATATATATATATATATATATATATATATATATATATATATATATATATATATATATATATATATATATATATATATATATACATGTAAGTCCGCTATATATATATATTAAAAAATAAAGTAAATAACAATAACAGCGTGCTATTGTATAGAGTATAACAAAGGCGTCTCGAATACAGTGAATCCGGAGGGTTAAGAATTAAAAGTTACAACTGTACTATATAGTCCAACACTGCAATGAGAGAAACAGCAAAATGTATGTTTCAGTGTACATGTATATGCATTTCTTGTCTATATGTTGGACTTGAATGCTCATAGTGATATCCATACATGATCCATTTGTGCTATCCATCTAAACCAGTAATTAAAAGAGTATTGTGTCCTCTGTACGCCCTTGATTAAATCAATATAACTTACAAATGTACAGTATAGTCCAACGCTGCAATGAGAGAACAGTAAAATGTATGTTTCAGTGTGCATGTATATATATTTCTTGTCTATATATTGGACTTCAATGCTCATAGTGATATCCATACATGATCCATCTGTGAAATCCATCTAAACCAGTAAATAAAAGAATGTTGTGTACCTTTATACTGTAAATGATAGCTAGTTTAGAATATACTGCGTTTTTAATTTACTGATTTAGATGGAGACTTTAATTGACAGTATCATGCTGTATATATTAGATTTACTTGGCAAGCGATTGAAGGTAAAATTAAATTTTACAATATGATTATCAATTATAAAGATGTTAAGATGAGTTTTTCCTCCAACCAGAAAATCAAAATTTACAACATGACGCCATGCAACTAGACTCGCCAGTTTGGGAAAACATATAAAGAAACTGGCTGCATGGTACGATCTAAATACATGTATCCCTTCTAAAATAATTAGTCGCTGCATTTTTAAGAGGGGCTTAAAATAAATCAGAAAGAAAAATAAGATTTTACAGTATAATAAAATGTGTTATGGTCAAACTCCCGAATACGTTTTATTACTTATGGTACGACAAGTATACATGTACTATAATAACCGACACACTGTTATTAGATATAAAAAATAATTTTTAAAAAAATAAAATAAAACAAATTTTTTTAAAAAGTTCAACAAATGAAATATGGTGCTTACTTTTAAATGCAATAATTTATCAATGCTGTAAACAACATATTCATATTTAAGGACGATCAGTTCAGCCGAAAACGGTTTATTTGCAAAAATATTAGACTAGCTGAAACTCGCAGTGCCGAATGATTTCATTATTTTTAAAGAATTAACTGCGATTTAAATTTAAACATCTTACTAAATGATTTGCCTTATTGACACCACCCCTTCCTTAATTTCATTAGTATATAAAATAAAAATATTTAAAGATTTAATTTTGAATAAATTTTGTTTTTAATTCAATTTCATCCTTTTTGGGTCCCCAAGTTTTCGACACATAATCACAACGCGTAGAGAACATTTCAACCAGTACAAGTAATGGATTTTTTAAAGTTTGAATTGATATCGATAGTAAAAACATTTTTTTTTTAATGAAATCGGTTCAGTTGGAAATTCTCTTGAAGATAACTAAAATAGCAAAATGTAAAGTTAAAGTGTTTTGGTTAACTTAAGTGTTTGAATCAAAATTCTAAATTACTATAAAAGCTTGCAGCATTCTGAATGTTAAAATTTAGAGATATATATTTCAACTTTAGACGATCATGATCGATACTGAATTTTAGATTGTTAAGCAAACGTTTTTCCTTCAATAGATAGATTACTGATTCAAAACATTAAAATACATAAAATTTAGGATAAAATGAATTTGAAATCTTGGTTTATGAATTAAAATATTTTAAATTTCCAAATAAATCTGAATTTTATTACAAAAAATTATTTGAAATATTAGAAGGACAATTAACTTCAACACAAGAAAGATAACTTTCAATGACACCCTGTATGTTAACCTTCCAATCAGGTGATAACAAGGTACGCCATTTCTCATTTTATGGATTCCTATTTTGATACCTGTAAATAGAAACTGAAATTT